TTTTTTATTTTTATTTTTTTCAAATGAACTAAAATATAAGCAAAAGCTCTTAATAACTTTTCAGTCCACCCCATTCATACATATTATAGGGTATCAGACATCGCTTACCTGTGCCCAGAATATTGTTAAAATGCCAAAAACGAGCAGCATTGGTTGCGTTTTCTGTTGTTGACGTTGTTGTTGTTGTTGTTGGGTCTGCTGCTGCTTCTTCATTGCGAGTACAGTGGTAACCCGAAATCGTTGACGAATGCGGCGTTTTTGCTTCTTGTTGATTTCGTTTGCTTCTAATTCGTTGTTATAACATTATTATTTGTCTGGCTGTGTGTATGCATCTGTGTATGTGTGTGCGTTAATGTGTGTGTTAATATTACTCTCCCGTTTGGTCGTCAATCAATATTGCACTTGTTTACAGCGACAACGACGTCGACGTCCGAATAGGCGTCGGCAGCGTTTGTTTTTATTGCTTTCTGCAGAAAAAATAAAAGATGCACCGCAGCGCGCTTGTTACAAAATTGTTGTTGCTGCTGCTGCTAATGCTGCGACTGAGGCTRCTGCAGTCGTCTGCTGTTGTCATTCGCTTTGATTACAATTTTCGCTGCCGCAGCCGCAGCCGCTGCTGAGAGAATGACGCGACAGCCGTAATTCATGGAATGCGCCCATGCCAAATGCTGTTTATGGGCAAACAAAATTATAACGGCACTGTCACACTGACTACTGCGGCTGCTGCTGCTGCTGATCGGCTCTCACAAGAAACAAGAGAGAGCAGGGCGGTCGAGAGAGCGCGAGATGGAAAGAAGCAGCACCAGCCGCAGCAGCAACAAGCGAAAGCGTCGCAACGTCACGGCTGCAGGTAGAAAGCAAACGAATGAAACGGAAAACTGAAGAAGTGACTGAGACGCTGGCTGCACCGTATGACTGTGTGTGTGTGTGTGTCTGTGCGTGTGCGTGGTGCAAGAGAGCCACGCACAAGTGCGTTTATCAGTGTGCGTGTGCACATGCGTACGAATGCCTGAGTGCGAGCGAGCAGGCAGGCGCGCGTGCGTATGGGTATGCGTGTCCGTGTAATAACGGCTCTTTACAACCGACGCAGTTGCMGCGACTGCGACAGAGTTGTTGTTGTTGTATTTAGTGTAGCTGCTGCATTACGAAATAACTACTCGTCCGCCATGACAATTACCCAGCGATTGTTGTTGTTTTTGCTGCTGCTGACGCTGCTGCTTTAGCTGTTCTTCAATTATTGCACCCCCCCATTTGGTTGTAATGGTATTAATGCTAATTGCACGCATTTATTTCAACAGAAAACAACAGCAGTCTCACACTCACACACACGCGCGCGCAGTCGCCACCCAGTTACAAGCACACACACACACACACTCACACATAGAAGCCCAGTGCGGCGGCGCAACAGCGACCGCGACGTCAGCTGCGCATGAAAAAAATTCACTTGTAATTGTAGTTGCTGTTGCTTCTTCTTCTGCTTTTGCTGCGTTTGCTGCATTAATTAAACTAGTCACGTTTCGTTGTTTTTTTTTTTTTTTTTTTTTTTTATAAAATGATGTTTTTTTTTGGTGAAATTTTAATGGCCGTCGCACTGCTCTTTTATATGTATATAATTATATACATGCTATATATATTTCCTTTATTTAACTTCGCAAGCTTATGCTAAATACCAGCACAATCACAAGTGCCATTAGCTCAGTTATTAACTAAACAAATAGAAGTAGCACGCATTAATTCAGGCAGCAGCGGTGGCCGCAGCAGCATTAGCGGCGTTCACATTTGTAAACAGACACACGACAAAAACAACACCAAGAAAAAGTAACCGTACACAAACTATGAGAGCGCCTCCGCTCCTCTCTCTCTTAATCAAACTCTCTTTACACACTCGCTCACTATGCTTTAATTGATGATATTAACGCATTACTTTTGAAATTCGCATTGAGCCCAAAAAAAAAAAAAAACAAAAAGAAAACAATACACAACGGAAGCTTTAAAATTTTTTTTTTAAAGAAAAATAAGATAAAATAAAAAATACGTTTGTACAGCGCGTACAGCGCGAGCGACAACAATAACCGTACCGAACGAAGAAGTGTATAAAAATGAACAAAAACAAGTGGATAAAACAACAAATGCAGAGTGCAGACCAACACTTGAAGTGCGTATATCGATATATCGATAGACTGATCAACAGTAGTATTTTAGTATCTATCGTGTGTTGTGCCACAACAAAGCGACATCTATGGCTTGGAGCTCTCAGAAAAATTACGCGCCAAGATTTGAATTTCAATTTCAATGGATCCTGATCGATAATAGAATAGAAAGCGTCAACATAAACCTAACTTGCTGTAACATAAAATAAGGTAAATATCAAATCTGAAAAAATTAAGAACTTGATAAAATTTTGAGCTTATGACATAAAAATGGGTGATACTTACTCTTAGGGAAAGAAGTAAACTGAACAAATGTGCGTATATTTCAAGAACAGAAGCGGATGTTAGTGCAGCATTTAAAACCGTTTCTAACACAAACAAAAAGCGATAGGTATCGAAAATTTAACCGGTGAACTGCAGGCAGTCGATAGTATTTAACTATCGTTAGGAACGGACAATAAAATGAAATACCAAATTAATTATGTGAACAAACTTGCACAAATGTTGTCATTTTAAAGTGCAATAAAAATAGAAATAAACATCAAATTACTTGCTGTGCATATAATGTATTTAAAGGTATGTGTTTTAATATAGGTTTGGTCAATCAATCGCAAGGTAGCATAAGCCTATTTCTTTACTCGTTTAGATCTACTTCATTTACTTCCATTTCTATTTACAATAATATTTATTAACAAATAAATATACAATGTTCAATTCAAATGTAGTTTGCGCGCGCCTTGTTTTCAAAACGATTGCTGCTGGCATTTTTAGCGCCAAGCTGTGCATGCATATCGATAAAACTCTGCAATATTTCTACATTAATTAATTGGCGCCACAGCTGAATTTCAAATGTACAATTCAAATCGGTTCGTTGCATTTTAACAGTTTTATGCTAGAAAAGTAGTATGTATTAAACAGAACAAATAATTATAAATTATGAAAATTTATGTTGAATTAAACATGCTTAGAGTACTGGCATTAATTTGCATTCATTTTTTAAGAGCGATGAAATTAAAAAATCTGATAGATTGAATCTATGCATGATGACGACTTTAAAGTCGACAAACAGTAGTCATGTCTATTATATCTGTGAAGATGTGATGCTTAGTTGGCTCTTTTAAATATGTATAAATATGTATATATTGAAAACATATTTATTTGTTGCCTTTGTCATTCCCTTTTCCTATTTATATTTTTACGCTCTCTCTTATTCTCTTTCTCTTCCTCTTTCTTCCTTTCTCTCTCTTTCTTTCCTATTTTATGCGTTATTCTTAACTTGTTAACTGGCATGTTAATTCCTTTCGTAATACGCGTGTTCATTATGTTAAACACTTAACATGGGACATGCGTGTATTAGCGGTGGGTGCACATACATATACAACCACACATACACACACACACACATACATTGAAGCCTCGCTGACTCCCCCCAAACAATAGCTAGATGAATGTGTAACACACTAATTAGTCTTGTATGCGATTCATAATGATAACAGTCATTAAAATACACGTGTACCTCGCCACACAGGCATGTGTGTGTGTGTGTGTGTGCGTGTGTCTGTGTGTGTGAGCCGAGTGTCGAGTGGCAAGCTCCGTCACCAGAGAAGCTGTAGCTGTATAAGTGAGAAGTTGGGGCTGCTGGTATTATATGCTTGAGCCGTGTCTTTGAGCTGTTGCCTGTGCTTTTGATTGCGCGACTGGTTCATGCCACACGGTGTTCACTGTACCGCATGCCAGCCGCCGATGTCTGCCTTTTGCTGCCTTTAGCGTTTGCTAATGCGAGCGTGTAAGACGTGCGACTCCACCCGCTCGCATTTGTCTATATGGCAAATATTAACACTCACTCACACACGCGAACACACTCGCTCACACACACACATACACACATACTCATCGTTTGATTCTCGGAGGATGACATGTCATGTTTTCATTATGCTCATGTGTCTAAACAATTATCCTGCAGGCATAATTATGTCTGACATTTATAAGCCTTGACACTTTCGGTTTTCGGTCGTGACACACACACACACACACGCGCACGCGTACACAAACATACACACACACTCACACATGCATACGGTTAAAGCTTTAAGCTGTTGATTTTTTAATTAAGTTTTTAAAACCATTAAAGAGTTTTCCTTAATAGGTGTAGCCATACATACATATACATATGTATGTATTTCTATTGCAAGTGATTGACTGATTGATTGACTGATGAATGATTTTTCGTAGTTTAGGTATTCAGCATTGGGCAACTATAGAAGTTGACTACACTTAGAAACAGTTATCTTCAATTGAGCTCTTTCAGTGTTGAATGCAAGCTGAGTGATTGATTGATTGATTGCTTGACTGATAGCCGCAGTCGAGCTATAAATTTTGAATGCAATTATCATCATTTAATGAGGAGTAATCACTAAAAGTTTAAGTAGTTAAGCGCCATGATTGACTGATTGATTGATTGACTAAATGAATACTAATCATAGCAATGCTTATAGCTCTTACTACTACTGCTACTCTAACTTCAACTAAAATCAATCACCTATCGACTTATCGATTTTTCGATTGATTGATTGACAAATTGATGATCAATCATGGCATAATAGCTTCGCTTTATTATTCGCCCTTCACTTGGAAACGTATATTGGACAAGTTGATTGAGTTGGTATTACTAGTTGATTGATTGACTGACTGGCTTGATTGACAGCTGCAGCTACAGCAACTTTTACAAATTTCTACATAAATATTAAGCTCTGAGATTACAGATAGATAGGCTAACACACATTCAGCTTAGAGGCCTCGTTCTGTCCACGCCTTGAGTTGAAAAATTACGGGGCCTGGCCTGGGCAAAAACTTATTTTGGCGTAAAATTGAAAAATTCTTTTGGGGTCAAAAGAATTAAGCGCAAGCCGATTGTTTAAGTGTTTGCCCTAACATGAGAACCAAGGCGGGTATAGCCAAAAAGTTAAGAAGTGCGTAACGCCATGGGAAATAGGCGACTATGCGATATTAATAACCAATTATAATAATAAGTGATATACCTATGATAATATAATTTATATTTATATAGAAAAACGTTGATTATTTTGAGTCAGTTTTCTATATACTAGATGTCTTTTTCTTAAATGGATGTAGAAAGCAACTTCCAGTTGTTCGAATTGCTTCATCTATTAGTCTTACGGTCGGCACTGAGATCGGCTAACCATACCATATGATGTAGTATATATAGTAGTTTGTAGTAGTATATAGTAGTACATGGTAATATATAAAGTAGTAGTTAGTAGTAGTAGATAGTAGTATATGGTAGAATATAGTAGTGTATGGTAGTATATAGTAGTATATAGTAGTATATGGTAGTATATAGTAGTATATATAGTAGTATATAGAAGTATTTAAGGTATATAAAGTATTCTAGCTATCACAAAATCTAATTTATTATAAGTTAACTCTAAGCATTTACAATAGTTTAGCTTTATGCATTTACCATTGTTATATATATCATATATACATAAAGTATACATATATACGTCAGTTATATATATACTCCTATACTCATTTAACTGCAATTCTTAGAGCATTTGTGATTTCAGTGGACTTTTTTCTCTCGCTCTTTGCCACATTTGTCGTCTTTGTCTTTTGCTGTTGGCTTTGTGGCTCTGAATGCTGCTGCTCGTTGTCCTGCAGCCCCTTTTGTGGCGGTGCGGCTTCTGCTGTTTCTGCTGCTGCTGCTGCTTACCGTTATTTTATTATGCAAGAAACAAAAGTTTCCATTTGTTTGCAGCGCTTCCGTTCAACGGCAACCATCAATCATTCGCCGTGTTGTGCGACGTCTTTGCAGGACGACACAACTCAGCTAAGAAACGGCCAAAGAGTGAGAGGGAGAGAGTGAGAGAGGGAGAGGGAGAGAGGAGGTGTGTGTTGAAAAAATGTTTCATTTTCACACACTAAACAAATTGCAAGAGTCAGAATGAGATGGAGGAGAATCAGGAGGAGAAAGAGGAGGAGGAGGAGTGGCAGCAGCAGCAGTAGCAGGGGCAGAGAGGTGCAAGTACAGAGCAAGGAGGAGCAGAGCAACTAAGAGCAGCAGGAGCACAGAGCAGGAACAGCAGCAGGAAGCGGAGCACGCAACAGCAGTTGAAGCAGGACTCGTAGCAGGCGAAGCAGTTGTTGTTGCTAGTGGGCAGACGCTGTTTGGGATATGTCCTGGCTGCCACTTGCCACGTGCTGCCTGCCACGTGCTGCGCTTTGCTATGTTCTACGTCCTGCGTCCTGCGTCCTTCGTGCTTCGTCCTTCGTCCTTTTTGCAACCATCTCGCCTGCCCACATCAGCCGTCGCATTCCTTTAATCTGCCGCTGCCTTCGGCTCCTGTCGCTGGCAAATAGTTTTCCCTTAATATGTTTCAACTCTTTTCCTGACTTTTCGCTCACATTCCCCATTTAAACGCTTCTCGCCTTTATTTTTATTGTTTTTTCGCTCGCAGCGAGTTGATCGAAACTTGACTTGAATCTACAATTTTTAGACAAATATTTAGTTTATTTCGATTCGAAATGTTGCGTTTTTATATTGATATTCCTTTGCACTACTCGTTCCGTTATAGAACAAATACTCTAGCTTATTCGGGAACAAAATGGTTAAGTGGTTGTCAAAGTGCGTGTCAAATTTTAACTCGGAGCTTTGCTTACACTGACAACTGTCAGTTTTTTAATCGTTTCATTCAGCTTATGCTGCACCTGGAGAAAATGCTTAACTACCTGTCAAGGT